GCACTCCGTGGGTCTTCCATACCATATCCAAACTTTATTGTAATCCACAAACCGGTATACACCACATCATGCCACCCATTGTAGGAGAAACCCCTCACGCGTTTCACCAACAAGGCTTAATCATAGAGATGACAAGTGATGTATACCGGTTTGTGGATTACAATAAAGTTTGGATATGGTATATAAGACCCATGGGGTGCAGCTATTTTCTGAATTGGGATGCTTGCAGGTGAAGACGCATCTGTCAGCCTGTACCTGGGGGGTATAATCTCCACCACAGGATTCCAACCGCAGAAATGGAGCAATGAGAGTATTTGTATTAACTTTTCAATGATATATGGTGCAAATCGATATGAAATGAATGAGTTATTATTATGAATGTATTATGTATATATTATATTCATTATAAAATAATATTATTATACAGGAATTATACAGGATGTGTGAATGGAAAAAATGCGGTAGGGGAACTAATAGTTCTCAATGAAACACAAGCAAAGACCTCTGCGCACTTGTAGCCCATTGATGACGTCTTCCAGCTCCATAACTGAAGGTATATACAGAGGTACGGACATGGATGGGAAGAAGTGTCTGCAGGAGCCAGAGCATTGCATCTGAGATCTATTGATCACGATTGCAATGCATTATTGGCTCCCATACAAAAAAAATAATTGCACATTTTATTCTTTTATGAAGAACCATGCGTTTATTATTTTTTTTCTTAAAGGTGGAATTTGCCTTTAAGAGTATATACTGCTTACAATTTTTTATCATAGTCTGGAAAGTGTAGGAGTGTACATAACAATAAGTATATATTTTTCCAGTGTTGGCAGCTTGCTGTGATTGTGGTGGGAGGTGATAAGCACAGAAGTGTATATACTTATAATGAATTTGTGTTGACTATGCCTTTATATGCAGTTATCTAGGCATATACTGTGTATAACTATGCAATTATATAAGCATTGCCTTCTGTTATCACCATTATGAAATCCTCCCTGAGAAAAGTCATGCTGCCAATCAGAGGCAAAACTGCAGATCATGTGGCCCCATAGCAAAATTGTGATGCCCCCCTTGCCCCCAGTGACCTCCCTACCGTCAATTATATTAAAGTCAGGTAGCAGGAGAGCTGTCTGCATTGTCTCCTCCTGTACATCTGATGTCAGCTCTTCTCAATTGGAAATGTCACAGGGCGTACAGGGTCAACAGCAACTTCTGCAATCCTTAATGGGGGCCCTTCCACCCCCAGGCCCCATAGCAGCCGAACGGGCAACTGTGGCTATTGTATTGCCACTGCTGCCATTATTGCAGTGTAAATAGTGGCAGCAAAGAGGCTGCAGCAAATCCACACCACTGACATACAAAAAAAGATTTGAAAGAAAAGGGATATTATAAAGAAAAAACTGCTCATGACACACAATGCCTCAGCCAACTAAACGTCATTCAGGTTGGGTTTACATCTACTTTAATGAGCGGTCAGAGGTGAAAACGGATACGGCTCGCTACAGGCCAAAACATGCTTTCCACTTAGTGCCGGCTCTTATGAATGGGATCGGCCACCATCTTCAGTCTCTTGTAATGGACCGTATGATAATTGTACAAGGTGAATGTTCCATCAGGGGAATCACAGGTGTATCTGTGCTCATGGGCTCAGGGGGAGCCGGCGTACACTATGGTACATGACTGATGGAAGGGCTATATGTGATCTAATACTTCCCATGTCCTAGCTTGGCTGGCTCCAGCTGGATGTCTCTTGCACTAATCATAATTGAAGATGACAGAGGCTTCTGACGGGAAATCTGTTTTCTCAGGAACACAACATGGGAAGGAGTTGCTGTGAGACAGACAGGACATGGCTCCGTCTGCTGAGCCCCGCAAGCATTGCCAGCCTCCACCCGTCTCTCTCTCTCTCTCTCTCTCTCCCGAAGCTTGGAGCTTCTTTCTCTCTATAGCTGTGTATCTCTCTCCACATCTTCTCTGCAACTCACTCCTTCCTTCTTTCCTCTACCTCCTTCTTCTTCTTCTTCTTCTTGTCCTCCATCATACGCACCAGATGTCCCCGACCCCAACTCTGTCCCTAGAACATGACCCTAGAGTTCAGACTCGACCACTTGTGCAGTTACCTTCCTCCGGGCATTACAAACCTAAAACGAGATCTTAGACATGCGGCAGCTCAATGATTATATATAGTAACATGTCTGCCCGGCATGACGACGTGCAGATGAATGTCACTCCAGTAATACTTATAGGGTATCTCTGGTTAGAACTAAAAATAAATCTGTTTTTATATTGAATTTCCATAAGTTCTATCCCGCTCCTAATAGTCATATCCTTCTAG